ATATATATTTAAATTATATATACATATTTAAATTATACACACACACACACACACACACACACACATATATATATATTTTTTTTAAACTCTATAGGCCAAAGGAGGAATCACAAAGGAAATTAGGAAACTATCTTGAGACAAATGAAACAAAAACACAAGAAAAGAAGACATTGGTCAGAGAGACATTTGTAGATAAAAACACATTTTAAAAAGGAACTTTCATATCAACCTACTTTTACAAGGAACTAGAAAAAGAATAAACCCAGAGAGAACAATGAACAATAAACAAACTAAAAAGGTGGTTCTTCAAAGAGATTAAAATTGACAAATTTTAGCTACATTGAAGAAATAAAGAATTAAAAATCACAATGTGTGTAGATTACTATCAATTTTACAGAAATAAAATGGATTATAAGAAACTATTATCAACAACCTATATGCAAATTGGATAATTCAGATGAAATTGACAAATTCCTAGAAACACACAATGTGACAAGACTGACTCACCAAGAATTAGAGTATCTGAATGGACTTATAACTAGTAAGAAGATATAATCAAACGCTTCTCAACAAAGAAAATCCTGAGCCAAATGACATCACTGGTATATTAGTTTCATGTTACTGTAATGAAATACCTGATATGAGCTACTAATGAAGTAAAGACGGCTTATTTTGGCTCACAACTCGGGTGGTTTAAATTCAGGATTGAGAGGCTCCGTGGTTTGGGCTCTGGTGAGGACAGCACATCACACTGGAAGCAAGTGGTTACATCTTGAATCAGGAAGCAGAGAGAAAGGGAGAATGGTAAGGCTCCACAGTCTCTCTGAGGGAATGCCTCCAATGATGCAAGGGCCTTTATAAGGCCATCCCGGGAAGCGAGCCTTTCTCCATGGGCCTCTGGGGTACACTGATCCCAACCACAGTACCTGGGAAAGTATGCCGAACATTTAACGATAAATTAACACCACTTTTCTCCAGACTTCCAAAATACTCAACAGGTGGGAACACTCCCTAACTCATTCTACAAGTCTTCCTAGCGCATTCATCAGAATCAAAACCACAAAGACACCACAAGATTGGGAGTATCTTGGTACAGTGGTGTATGCCTATAACCCCAGCACTCAGAGACTGAGGTAGGAGGACTGCAAGTTCAAGCCCCACCTGGGCAATTTAGCAACTTAGCGAGACCCTGTCTCAAAATTAAAAAGGTACTGGGGATTTAACCCAGTGCAGAGACCCTAGGTTTAATCCCCAGTATTAAAAAATAATATTGAGGACATAGCTCCGTGGTAGAATACAGATCTAGCACGTGTGAGATCCTGGGTTCAGTCCCCAACAGTGCAAAAGCAAAACACTATAAGAAAACCATAATCTATTATCTCTTACAGGTATCAATACAAAATCCTCAGAAAATACTAGTGAACCAAATTCAGTAGCATATTATAAGGACTATATATCATGGCCAAGTGGATTTACTCTTGTGATGCAAGGATGGTTTAGTGTACAAACTTCAATTGACATAACATACCACATTAACAAAGAATCAAAAAACCTACAAGGTTGTATCAGTGAATGCAGGAAAAGGACTTGACATAATTCAATAACCTTTCACAGTTTAAAAAATTCTCAAAAATTGAAAAGGAAACTACCTCAAATAATATATGAAAAACCCATAGTAAACACCATGCTCAATGGTTGTTATAACTTGTGTTTAGATGTTCCCCCAAAGCCTTATATGGTGGTGCTTTTCCAGAGGTGACGGAATTTAGTGTCTGTGACTGATTCCCCATGCAATGGAAGGCCCGAGGGAACTACGATTAAGAGTAGCACTACCTGTCCTAAGTAGAAGTCAGAAAGATGCTATTAAGGTCCTTTGTTGCTCTTGCTACCATCTGTCCACCATGAACTATTTCTTTGCCAAGCCACCCAGCCATGGAGCCAGCCAATTATGGAATGAAACTTCTACAAACTGAGTTCAAGACCAGCCTAAATCACATAGCGAGATCCTGTCTTAAAAAAAAAAAAAACCAAACCAAAAAATGCAAAAAAATTTAAAACCCTAAAATATTAGAAAGTGACATCATTAAGGTGGCTGAGTAGTAAATCTTGGACTTCATTCCCCCTCACTAGTTTTAACACTAGTTTCCACAGAAAGGTACTGCTGGTAAAACTCACAAAACATGGGAATAAAACGGAGTCAATTATGTGTTCCAAGGGAACGAATAAAGATCTTCATTGATAGGTTAATAGTCTTACTTGGACTACACTGTCCCTAGCGAAAGGTGACACACAGTGACACAGAGAAAAATCCTCAGGGTCCATGGTTTTCCCAAGGGGGAAAAAAAGAACAGAGGTAGCAAACACTCAGCTTCTCTAGCATTCTGAGGAGCTTTCCAGGAAATCCACTTTGTTTCTTAATTCACTGGCAATCTAGGAAAAAACTAAACAAACTAGGTAACTCAAGGCCAGATATATAGAAACAAAGCAAGGAGGCAAGGAAGTGGAGCCCACAGAAGCAAACACCCCATTTTAAGCCTAACTGCTAACAGTGGTGCCTGACTAGTTAATAACAAAACTTCTGGAATA